AAAATATGTAGAGTAGAGGAACGGGTTATGTTTCATGCGGTAAGGTTGTTCTTTCAATTTTCCAAAAGGTTTTCTTGTACGGAAACTAGGAGGAAGAATATTAATAGGAAATCTTGAAATGGATGGAAGTAAAATGAGACGGCCTCGGTCAGACGTGATTGAGGTATATGGTCTGATTAGAGTGAGTTTAATTAGAGAATTGCTTGAGAAGATTTTCGAAAGTGGTTTGCTTCCTGAGATGTATACTAATTACGTTGATAGTGAAATTTACCTACATTATCTAATATTAATTAATCAAGTAGTGGGTGAAGCCTAAGTAATGAAGTTGCGGGCCTTATGAAAAATGCATGGCGTCAGTTGAGCTCTTAAAAAGCTATACAAAGTGGCATTATGGACAAGTATTATATTTCAGGATATTTTATTATCTATTATATTTCTTAAAATATAAAGTATAATGGAATATTATTTTTATTACTGTATATTAATGTGTATTAATAAATTATGAAAAAGTATATCAATGTATCAAGACCTTAAATACCAATCTCACTTGAAAATTTCGCAAAACAATTTCCTTCCTCAAGATTCTTTTCTAAACTGTTATTGTAACACAATATAGTAAACTATATAAAAAAGCATATATAAAAAATATCAGTTTGAATCATAAAAAAAATAGCAGAACATTCTTTTTCCTAAACATTCTCTTCCAAAGCAAGTTTCCTATTTCAGGAACTACAGTATCTACTTCTTCTCGGCAACGAAGTCACAAAACACTGACCACAATAAAGAAAATCCAGCGACATATTTCCGTTTCTATTCTGTGGCAGCCATGGTGGAACAAAGAAAAACACTCGTCCCGATTGAAGCTTCTGGTTGATATATGTGCCGGTTACACGGGAGATTTGTCAAAAATCGATCGTGGACGAGATACAAACACGCGTCTCTTCGAACGAATAGGAAAAAGTCGAAGGATTTTAAAAGAGTCCGACGATTTAATTGTCCCGAAAAGTAGATCGAGACGTGGTTGCCGATCCGTGAAACGATATCAGCAATTGCGTCGCTTCCTGTAATAATTGTTTTCCGAAGAAAAACGCGAGCCCGAGTAATTTTCTTCGATAGAAAACAAGCAGCGGTTTTTTTAACTGCGGTTCGAGTTTCATTTTTATGATTGTGCGGTTTAGTGGCACTTTTGTACTGAGAGTTTCGATGTGTTCTCACTGCAGTTAAAATAGTATCGATCCCAGTAAAACGACTGACGAAATGTCTCAGTGAAGATTTGTAGTTTGGTTTCTCGCTTTTCGATCAAATAAACGTAGAGGGAAATTAATGGAATGTACTGTTACATTGTTGTGGAAAAGTGGAACGGTGTACGAAAAACAGCTTATTAAGAGATTATTGTTTTATCAAGTTGCATTGTCTGAAAATATCCAATGGAAGTATCAATGGAGGTAGAAGTGGAATTGTTTATTTAAATACTCTGTGTACAATAATTATAGGTTTGCAAATCAATTTGACGTTTTATTAAACTGAATATAAAATGACTATCATAAAATGGAATGTTCATAAAGAACTATAAAAGAATACGATTAATTAGAAGTTAGAGAAAGAGCGAGAAACAGTACAAGTAGTGAAGGTTCGTCTATGGTCAGACATCTCGTTCAGCACGTCGCAATCAATATATTTTTTGATATTAATTAGAAAGAAAGCGAGAAGTAGAGTAAGTAGTAATGATCTACCTGTGGTCATACAATATCTTGCACTCGATACACTGATCAATATCTCATAGTATATCGTATACGCAGTTATTTAATACTAACATCAATGAAACAATTATTTGAAAATTGTTGAATTATTTATCTTGTAATTATTAAAATAAAAAGTCACACTTGGGAAATTAGTAAAAATTCGAATTGTTTAACTATTCCATTCCTATCGTTAATAAACATAGCAATATCGTAAATATTCTTCTCAACTTTGATCTTTTCCCTCTTTTTCTATTATACAAATTTCTTTTATGCTATCAAATTTAAATTCTGAAAAAATATCTCAACATCCCATAACCCCGCCAGACACTACTATGTTCCACATAAACCCATTTATACACACAATATATCTTCAGTAATATCCACTAACATAAATTTCTCCCTTGATAAATCCTAACTACCTAAATCATCTTTAACATCTGCCCCCAAAATTACCATTCAACCTGTCGCGTTAGCATTATATCGTCAACAAGAAAAGAGAAGAAGAAAAGAAAAAAGAAAAAAACGAATGAACCAGCTTATCGAAAACAATAGAAGTAAAACAACTGGGAAAAGCTCCGATATCGGTAAATCGAGCGAAAAATCGGGAAATTTCGTATCGCCACGGATATTTCGGTTGGGATTGCGTGCACGCGGGTCATCTGCATAATACGAGGCGAGCGTGGCGATGCCTGCAACTGATTCGAAATCGATTCTTTCGCAGAGGGCGAAAGAGGGTTGACCATGCAAATACAATTGGAAAGGGTCGGTTTGTCCAATCGCAAGTGTCCACCGTGTTTAACCGTAACGCGAATTCGTTCGAAAACTATGAGTGGGTCGCGCGTCGTGGTCAGCTTCGAAGCTTGTAAATGACACGACAAATTAACACGAGTCAACGTGGCCGTGCGCGAATTTCATCGTTTCAGCAAAATCGTAACTGTACCGTGAACCTTTCTCTCCTTCTCTCGTTCATTTCGTCAATTTGATTTTTCCCACCTTTTCCTTGTGAAACACACGTGCGGTTCGGTTGACATTCGCGACTGTCAACTTGTTGAATTGTTTCCCTTTTTCACGCGCCTCTGCCAGCTGACAGGCCACTTGCGAAATTCCTGCGATATTTTTCATTAAAACGTATGCGATTTCGTTGTTCACTGTGACAGCGACGATGAAAATTCCGATAGAATTTTACTGTTATTCTTTTGGATTATATGGAGAACGATACGTAGAATTTTTACACCTTTCGTCACAGTAGATATATTGCACTGGGAAACGCGAATATATTTTTATTTATACTGCGCTTCGTAATTGTTGGAGTTTACGCAACTGTCGAAGTCCATACACGTTGCTCGACTAATTTAATTTTATGACCTGTACCGTTTCGTCGTGGCTTCTCAGCTGATTTAGGGTCCGACGATGCGAAGATTCCTCGCAACGAATCGCCGATATTTCTTAGGAAAATGCGAATAATAGCAGGAAAATCTTTTAGACAGTTTACAGTAGAGAACAATAGAAAAATTAAAATTGATATTTGTATGTATAAGTGAGAATAAATTTTGTATTAAATTTTGTCTGTACCAAACACTTTGGTAACAACCGTGTATTCTAAAATATACAGGGTGGTTGGTAACTGGTGGTACAAGCGGAAGGGGGGTGATTCTACGCGAAAAAAGAAGTCGAAAATATAGAATAAAAATTTTCCGTTCGAGGCTTTGTTTTCGAGAAAATCGACTTTGAATTTTCGCTCGGTACGCGTGCGGTACGCGTACCGAGTCGTTATAACGGATGTCACTATAGATCGTTGTCTCGATGGAAAAATTAAAAAAAAAAGACAAAATTTAAAAAAAGATTTTTATTCTATATTTTCGACTTCTTTCCGCTTGTACCATCAGTTACCAACTACCCTGTATAATATATCATATTACACATTCATTGTTTTTAATAATTATAATTCAATTACGAAAATCATGATACTTTCTTAATTTTAGCTCTTTAAACTTTCTTTGGTCCGCCACTCTGTATACAATGCTGGATCATCTTACTCTAGTACGAACAAAGGCCTGTAAAGTTAAACGATTTAAAAACTCTGAGGTATTTCCACTTGTTTTGTATACGAGGAAGTACTGTTTCATTTAACGCGTTTTGCATTTTATTCGATTTCTCGGGGGCATCTTTCAGCGAGATTGCGCAAGTTTTCTCGTAAAGTCGGTATAAGAACGACTCTATCCACTCGGCCCTCTTGGTAAACTTGCTCATAATCTCAGAATGCTTCTGTTTTCGTTCTCACGGCGCGACGTTGCTTGCCAGGACACCGGCCTAATCCGTTTCCGTCAAGTTTCGCGACTACGTTCAATATTCAACAGCAGGTGAATGCCGAGAGAGGAAGAAAAAGGGAGGACCAGAGAGACTTTTTCAACGCGTCAGATTGAGAATCGTCGTATGTATGTGACGAGAGGACACCGTATTTCAACTTTGGAAATATCCTTTCCACATAGTGTCGTGAAAGTTGCTCGAAACATGAATTCAGCATTTGCAGAAGATGAAAAATCTCTTCTGTTCCGCTTAAATAACTTTATAGTATACGTTATCCTAAATTGTAAATACAAAATTTCGTTCTAATTTCGTTCCAAGATTATCTCAGTTTTAGAAATGCCGATCCTTACAAACTTTGAACAACGAAACAAGTTAATCGTGCTCGATCCTGCTACATTTTAGCGAACAAACAGGATTCCTAATGTTTCGTGAGAGACTGCAAGGTAAAATTGGAACGAAAAAGCATGCGTAACAACAAGACATTTTTCATATTTCGCCCTCTAACCGGAGATATTCTTCAGCGCTAGGAAAAGATCATTGGGTGGAAGATGATCGAAAGCACGTAGCAGTAGTCGATATATATCTATAGAGTTATGTGGAATATCATGGACACACAGTGGAGGATATATAACGTAGAAAATGTTAAAAATTGATACGCTGTGTATGTTAGTAACCTTTATGCTACACATTTTTCACATATCGATAACAATCATCCACAGTATGCTACGTTGTACGTATATTACGCTTATTCGCTGCTCTTAACAAGTATAAATCCACGTTAAAAAATCATGGTGTCGCCTTATGTTTCTTATTTTACAAACTTCTTCTAAACTTTTTCCCGATACTTTGATAAAACATATTTTATGTTTGTCATATTTATTCATAGTCGATGAAAGCAATCTTTTTTCATAGCCGACAGGAAGAATTCATTTTTTATAAAGGTGTACTCACCACCGTGATAGGAACTGCCCCGATGAGGAGTGTAGATACCGTTCCTGGGCTCGGGACAGTGGCTCGGCGTGTAATACTGCATTGGATGATGCACGTAATTGTTCGGGGTGCTCGGCACGTGTACCGGATGGCAGTGCATACATCTTCGCGGTGTCTCCGGCACGCCCTGGACAAAAGAAACATGTCTGCAATGCATCGAGAAAGGCAATAGCGATCGGGCACGCGAGAACCAATGATAAATCGCGACGATCGACGACGTAGCCTGAGAATTAAACGTCGCTGGATATCCGCCGACAGGGTGAAAGTGTCGCTGGCCGAATACCAATTAGGGGATGAACGCCCCACGCAATTCTCGCAAACTGATCGACGACGCCTACCTTGTACATTTACCTGTAAAATGCGCGATTTCTGCGTCGATAATCGAATCAATCTATCGTATCTGATTCGTGGAACATTAGAATAGGATCTTTATGATTTTCTTTTGTATGAGTGGATAAGATGATAGATAAGACGATCATGACATAGGCTAATTAGGTTCTTAACGGAAACGTAGTATAAATATTCTTTTTTTTTTTTAGATGAGAGGAGAATTAAAAGGTAAATTGACGAATTTTATTTTTTGTCGATTTGTTAATTTTATTGGAGGAGTGCGTGATTAGTATTGAACTTTTGGGGAAACAAACAACGTACTTGGATAAATATTTATGAAGAGGATGTCCTAAGTGATAAAGAATTTCAATGTAAATTTAAAAAAATGTGATCGTTAGATCATCCTCTTTTCTATGACTTTAAAACATCAAAGATCAAACTCTATCATTCGTTTCCATTTAACAATTAATCTTCCTTCTATCCCTAACTTGTACGATCCCTGTGGTTCAGAATTTGGTTAAATCAGCTACCACCCTGTCAATCTTTTTAAAATTTGCACTTGCTGCTCGACGAGATATTAATCAGTCGATAATCGATCACTGCAAAACAATACGCTTTCGATAAACAAAAGACCGTCTTTGGCACATCCTCACACTTATCCTTCATCTTCTTCTTTACCATTCTGTCAATCATCCTAAAATTTCCACCTATTGTTACAGATTAATCACTTAACCTACGATTTACGTTCGAGAATTTTGGGCCGATTTACATTTGGTCCGATCATCTACTACGGGATATGCCCGAATATTTACGTTTGGCCCGATCATCGTACTACGGGCTATGCCCGTAATTGTAGGTTAAGGGGCTAACTACTAATGAAAAGAAAACATTCAACTATTGAAAAACGTTTTGTTTCAATGAAACGCGTTTTTAACGAATAAGAAATCGTCTTTGGCAGATTTTCGCATCCATCTTTCATTATTCAGCAACCTGAAAATCTTCTGAACATTTCCACGATTATTACAGATTCTACATCGAAATGCCAATTGCTCAACTAATATCCAGCTATTGAAAAACGATGTTCCTTGGACAAATAAAACAAAAGATAGCTGGTCGAAAACCGATAGCTGAAAAAGGGATAGAGCTTGCAAAACGGTCCACTAAAACTTTAATGTCGGACTTAATCCACGAATTTGCTTATAACCCGACGCGTTCTCCGGATACGATCACCCTAACGATGATAATCCAACGACACGAAAACGACGGGATTTTTCTTTTTTTTTTTTTTTAAATACCTGCATAGAATGCTGGGATCGGAGCGATCTTATCGAGCCAGCTGGGTGAAGGGAGGGCACGCTACCACCGAAGTTCATCGCGGAATTCCTACAGCCGCCCGGGGTGGACCAACCCCCGCGCACGCTGGCCGAAGTCCACCCCATAGTGCTACCGCAATCGTCCACCAGCATTTTCACAGCGCACCGGGCATCTCACTGATCCTCTTTCGTCGACTCGACGACCTGCAATTGCCTGGATTTCACTCGTCGTCTTGCTGCTCTATCGGCGGAAGCTTGCGTAGCTCTAAAACTATTCTTCGAAATGATTGTCCTCGATATTATTCTTCAAGGTAATTCCTATTTTCCCGTGATTGTCGTTAATCTGAGGGACGTTGGTGATCGACCACGTGGAGATTGAGATTGAAATTGAGATTGGTCGAAGAACGACGGTGGTACGGTGGCTGTTGGCGAAACTCATCTTTCGTTGCTGAGGATTCAATCGTCTCGATTCAGGCGTGGATCTGCAAGCAGAAAATATGAAACGTGGGTGAAATAGAGAATTGGCGAGCGCTGGCTGTCGATTAGAACTGTAATTAAGCGGATGGGAATGACGAGAGAGGTAGCAGAGGTGAAATGGGACGCGGATTAAAACTGTACTTTACTCGATGAGGATTCCAACGGAACGATGAGAGATAAGAATTTTACTATGTTCGATTTCTTTTTCTATATATCGTTGAGCTTTTCGTGCTACGTTAAAGATATTCTATAGCAGATATAGAATAGAATATTCAAGATTCGCGTATATTATTTCTCTCATCTACGGTTTATGGTTTCACGAAATCACCAAATTACGTTACGCATTATGGTAGGAATTAAGGTTCACTTTTTTGTAGGATATTAAGGAAAAGTGTGTATTAGGGATGAAGTAATTTTATCTTTTTATGGCATGATTCGAATGACGTTATATGTATGAGATATACATAGACAACATTTAAGATTCTCCTTTCTTGTAGAACGTTATACCACATTTGTCAATTTGACTTGAGAGAAGATTTTAGATGATCTCAGTTTGTTTAAAATAATACAACAATCTTGACCAACACGGAAGAAGAGAGTTTACGCTGACAAGAAAGAAGCTGAAGCTATTAAACGCCAGCCAAGATGAATTACCAAGTGTCCAAGCGAGCGGAACAACTTTACTAAAAGCACTCTCCACTTCAATATCACCGCAATTTACGTTCTCATAATCAGAATTAATCTGCAATTAATCCCGTGTCCCGTGCAAATAATCTCAACTACTGGACAACGGGGCAAAGTTGTGGAAAAAAGTAAAGCAAAGCGTAGACCGCGAATAAAACAATTCGCGGAATGAGTTTCCTCGCCGGTCTAGAGACGAAACGAACTGTGATTTACATCTGGAATACCCATCGTCATGGTTAACCGATTGGCATCCAAACGCGGATTAATCCGCGTGCTACGACTACTTTCTATTACCAAGCGCGGATTATTACGCGCGCTGCGACTGCTTTTTTTATTTCCATTTTAATCTAAATAATTTTCTGTTAAATAAATAATTTTTACTTTTTTCCACTGTTATAAAGAACGTAAGATGCGATGTTTGCGAAGTAACATTGTCTACCAATCGTTTTGAACAGTAAATTTTCAATAAACTCCATGAAGAAATCGGATGAAGAAATCTACGACAGACCGCGCGCGGTAGTAGGGACCAGATGTTAGTTGAATGCCGCTGATGCATTCAACTGTCCTCTTAAGTAGGGCCACGATGCAAATGGGTTAAAAAGTTTAATCCGCGTCATATGCATAAGTAAGCGGACCGACGATATGAATCCGGTTCGACCTGTCTGTTCAGGGCGCGGTAATTTATTACGCAATCGTTGCGTACTTATCCAGCCAAGCCAAACTATCACCAGCATTTAAATTGTTTTTTTATCAATAGGTACAAAGATTACTTCAGGTTTTTTTTATAAAAATGAATGACACATTAACCGGTCATTCGCTGAATATTCAAAAAGCGAACGAGGTTTGTGAAAAGAAGGGATTGGACGTGTTCATGTGTTTATGGTAGGTGAATTGAAAATGTTGAATATTGATATCCTAGGTGAATATAAAAATTACGGTTACAGAACCTTTTTAACAAGTTGAGTTGATTTTTTTATGGGAAACTGCAACATACATATATCGAACGTGAAATATTTCGTTTATTTATATGGAACGTAAAATATAATAATATATAATGTTATTACAGCGTGAGACGAGTTATATTTAAGGCAATCGTTAATAAATAATGTTTAGACACAGAAATATAAAGAATGTCAACGCAGTCCCTTGATTCTTTTCAGCAGTTTAGGACGATGGATCAAACTATCGGTAGAAACACCGATTTTTCTTTGTAAAATTCTGTTATGAATTTGTAAAAAAGAAACACGATTCTTCATACAGAGTTTTCGTAAACTATAAGAGGATAAAAATTGAAAGAAATTACTATACCAAATTCTCGGAATAGTTATTTAGAATCGACTCTTGTACCAGTTTTATAACAATAGAAACCTCAAGTTTCAATGAAAACGATTCATTGTATGTTTTTCATTATTTATTTCTATTTTATAGCTACTGAATGACAATTAAGATATAATGTTCGAGCCTAACGTTCAAATACATCATTTCACCGAACAGTTCAATAAGTTTCAAAGATTTTGATCAAAATTCAAACTTGACAAGTCCTGGACGCTTCTTTTCCATACAAATATAATTCAATAAACATAGCGCGATTTATTATACATCGATATGTGTATGCAATGGATCACGATCGTACGAAAGTTCAAGTTACATACTTCCAGTTTTTCCATTAACGCGCTGCGAATTAACACGCAAATGGAAAGTTTATTCGAACAGATATAACAGGATTTTACAGGGAAATTTGGTCTCTGCCCGATGCTTTTCCTCGTTAACATACACAAAATAGTTTAACATAAATGATCTTCGCTTACGAATACGAGAACAAAGTTATGCGATTATCCGACCAGCGTGTACCACGAATAGTTGGAATAATTAAGGTTTTATACTAGTTGGAAACAATACCGTTGTAATACACACGAGAGTCAGCTATTTCGTATTATTTCACGAAAGTTTCTTTATCGACCCATCCTTTTTCCAGGCCGAAAATTTACGACTTCCGACGTTGATCCGATGACCGGCCGTTTCGTAAACTCGATACTCGCGCGGTTTCACGGTCGCGACTGTGTGCGCAACTTCCGCAATAAGAAGGACCGTACCGGAAACAAATGGCGGATTTGTATGCGCCGCCAGCGCTACAACCTATATATTTCAATTTTAGCGGCGCTACGTTGCGGAGGAACCTCGTTGCGGAATGCAAAAGCATGCCGGGGCCGTAAATCTTTTTACAAAACGCTTTTTAATCGAAACACTTTGCGCAAACCCGCCAGCCTCGCCCGTGTCGGAAGTTAGCTTTCCGGCGGTAAGAATTGTTGGGACCAAGTTTTTAAACGCGGCACGTAATCGGGCAGAAATTTAGCACGAATTTGTTATTAACAGACTGTAGATTTTTACGCAACATGCGTACCGTGCATCTAATATGCGAATATTGGGTTGTCCGGAAAGTGTTTTTCTTTTACGGACACGTCTTTTACAACAACGCGTCTTTATACAAACGTGTAACCTAATCTATCGAACGTTGTGATAGTTCGATAGAACAAAATGGATTATACGTAATTGGATAAAATAATATAAAACGGAAAATTTTAGATAGCGAGGATTAGATAGAATATTCTAATTAAGAATTATACTTACGATTATGAAATATTTTTATCAGATTGTATAAATAATTTCTCTAGCAAATTTTCGATGAACAAGAATTTTATATTGTTTTATTGAATTAGGTATGATCCATTTCGTTCTATTTCTATTATTACGTTCGTGCATAATTCAATAAACAAATATAAAACAAAAAAACATTGGGCGAATCTTTTCGGACGACCTAACATAAGTAAAATGTTCCTAAAATATTTATTACAATATTTAGTACATAATTTAGTTATGTTCACAGAGATATAAAAATGTATGAAAGTCTACGGTTTAATCTTTGCTAAATGTTTAGTCTGTTCGGATATCGAAAATTGTTTAATTAATTCTCTGAGCTGTAGGCGTTGTAAATTGCAGATGTTTATGCAAATTTATTATAATTATTAATATATTAAAGATTTGTTTTGCTCTTTAGATAAATTATTTCGAACGATTTGTACATTTATGTACATTCCTTGTGATAATATATGAACAACCGTAGTCTGGTTGGAAAAAGGTGACTTTGTGACACTGAAATTTATGTTTCATATTTATTATTATACACTTGGTGTGTTAATTATTGAAATATGTTCGATTCATTCTTTGCGTTAAAAATATTACAAGAATATGTTTCCTAAGGTTATATTAAGTTAATTTAGTTAGTCAATTTGTTAGTTAATCTTATTCTGAGATTTACGTGGTAACTACCTAATTAATAAAAGTTAATAATAATAATAATAATAAATAATAATAATAATAATAATAAATTGATACATCCAAGTTGCAGTAAATGTGTGAGCAAAGAAACATGTTACCTTCTCCTATCATAAAAATTCCTGCTTGTGAGAGTTAGATTGATTAAACGTTAATCCTGTTACGTCTTTGACTTGTTTTCAACTCAATCATGTTTTTACGTTGTAAGAAAGTTTCGTAAGTCCGAGGGAAATATAAAAGAGCCATTGTATACGCGTTTTCTCGTTTTAATTTTATGTTAAAGTTTCTCTTGAAACGATAAAAGTCGTGTTGCTTGCTGAAACGCGAGAAAGATTGGACCATAAAAATTCGAAGGAAGGGGAAATTGTCTCAGAAAACTCTTCTGTCGCGAATGATGATTAAACTTGTTATTCATAAATCTTTCCGTCACAAGTTAGTTAAATATAAATTTAATTTAAGAAAACATCTGCGACACGCGGGGGAAAACTCAGACGTTCGAATCTCATTTCTCATTTCAAGAAGATTTTCACTCGTAGATCAAAGCTCGGAAAATTCCCTGTAATGTACGTCTTCTTAAATTTACATTTCAATTCCCATCCAGAAATACGAATCTTTGATTAAAATTCCAGTTTGCATTTCGTAAAAGAGTTTCCAAAGTTAATGTCAAAACTTACATTCGTGTTGATTAAAGTTTTCTTTCTGAATACCACTTTTACATCACTCACATCAGATCTTCACGAAACGAAATGATCAAAATCTCAATGGTACTTTCAATGAAAAAGTTTTAATCGTTAAAACAATAATATTCACTGTACGTATTCCTCCAATGAAATTGTTCACACCTAATCGCTTCTCCGAAGTATAATTTCTCGAAAGCTAAATTAACATCACAACTTTCGCACACTTTTACTGCGTCGAATCGAAAAGTTTATAGCTTTGTTTGAAAAAAGAAAAAGATAATTCGAATTCGACGTTGATTCGAGTTA